TCACACCTGTACTATACCAATTACGGTAATATTACGTTGCGTGTGACAATAAAATCCAGCAAATATACTTTTTTCCTATATTTCACATTAAAAATCAGTGAAAATAAATTCCATACAAAATGCCCAAAAAGCCTCTTCAGCGAAAATTAATTCCAGCGAAAAAAAATTATTCCACAGTAGCTCATTCTACTCAGCTTGATTGTGGGCACAAAGTTACTATTTGAATTTGTTATATCCTTTTTCATTACCGAGAAATTTGACCCCAAAGTTGGGGTAACTTTTCACCAGCAACGGCTTTTAACTCCTCTGAGATTTTTTTTGGCTCGGCTGATTTTGTTCATACTTCACAGGTAGGTCATACCATCACTAATTTTAAAAAAATCCTGGCGCACCACTGCCATTGCAGCTGATTTTCAAATACTTCAGCCCCAAATGTATTACCTCCTACTAGTTTTGTAATAGCAGTGTTCAGATGATCATGCTTTTTATTTTGGCTCAGATGATAATGCTTTTTATTTTGGCTACGTTGCGCACTGATCACCGACACTGACATTGTTACACTCTATCAACGTAATCCCAATGCAACTTTGAACTTTGAATAAACTGTAAATGCTGCCTTCATTCTAGAAAATACTATCGCAAAACGGTTGGAAATAATAAATATAACAGCAGAATACGTCCTAGTAATAAACTAAGTGACTTCTAAAGACTGAATGGTTTCTGCGAACTTCGTATACAGGGCCCATTTAGTTATAAACTGACGTTAGTTTCACTTTTATGTCCTACCATGGAAACAACTAAAAACATGTTGCTTGTTTTTTGAGCGGAGCATATCGTCAACCAGCCTACCAGCTTGTATTGCCTATGTCCCGGACTGTTTACTAGTACTTATTTACTTGTCAGTGTCTGACTGTTATATACAGCCCAGAAAACGTCAGAATAGTAAAAAAAAGTCAGGAAATGTCAGTTGCCCGTGCCTTGAGAGCTGTTGAACCAAAACAATCTGTCACCGCGCACAGCATCGATATGATTTTATATTGCATAGAAAAGAACACTAAATGCAGCTATCCCTGTCAGCAATCGAATAATCAATCTTCATGATTTATGCAACTGGTATTTCCATCTATTTGCTTAATGGTCTGAATTTTAAAATTGTCAAGTTCGCGAGTGTAGAGTCTTTTTGTTTTTGTTTTTTATTTGGAACGTACCAATGCAATCTTGAGTAAAGTCCAAAAATAACAATAACAAAACAAAACATTCAGAACAACAAAAACTTACAGTACTAAAACATATCAAAAATATAGAAAATAAATTTTGCAAAAATGCTAAGAATGAAAAAATCATTACTTGAAACAATAATAGGAAATAATTCATCCATGCTAAAATCTTCCAGCTTTGGGGCATAGATGTATAGAGCTGCAAGGAATCTAGATCTATGTTCTTTGATTTGACAAATATTTCAATATAAAATGTAATGTTTCTCATCCCCTACTTTTTTGCATTCATGGAGATTACATAGCCTGTTTCCCTTCAAAATGCCTTTATGTCTACCGGATTCAATGGGAAGAAAATGTGCAGAAGTTCTAAATTTAGTATAAGCTATTCTATTGA